ACACGGTGAAACCGGTCTCCGTGTGTTGTGTCTAAAAGACATGTGTTGTACAAAGAGCTAGCCAGGCGTGCGAGTGGCGGGCCTGTTGAGTCCCAGCTTACTCGGGCTGAGGGCAGGACCGCGGAGAAGGCCCGTAAAACCCCGGGGAGGCGGAGCCTGTGCCCAGTGAGCTGAGAGTCGGGCGCACGTGCTAGCCAGGATTGTCTCGATCTCCTGACCTTGTGATCCGCCCGTCTCGGCCTCCCAAAGTGCTAGGATTACAGGCTTGAGCCACCGCGCCCGGCCAATGGTAGAATTTTCAAAACAATTTTTTAGAGTAGTAAACTGGAGGCTGAGGCAGATGGATCACTTGAAACCAGGAGTTTGAGACCAGCCTGGCCAACATGGTGGAACCCCGTCTCTACTGAAAAATACAAAAATTAGCTGGGCATGGTGGTACGTGCCTGGAGTCAGGAGAATCGTTTGAACCCGAGAGGCAGAGTTTGCAGTAGGCCGAGATCACACCACTGCACTCCAGCCTAGGTGATAGAGTGAGACTCTGTCTCAAATAAATAAATAAATAAAGTACAGTAGAGTAGTAAACTGATTGCTAGTAATGACCAAAAGATGGATTAGTGACATGTCATTGGGTCACCTTAGTACTGCTGGGTGGTATATACACCATTCATACCACCGAAAAATGATAAAAATAACCTCAATAACAAGAAGGGATACTTACTGAACTCTTGTTGGAACCAGAGACCATGCCAGGCACTCTGTATGTTTGTTGCTTAATTCATTTTTTTTTTTTTTAAGTAACAAATACCCTGGAAGCGTCCTTAATTCTTGCAATTACCCTTTGAAGTGGGTATGTCTTACAGATTAAAAATCAACAACACGGCTGGGCGCAGTGGCTCACGCCTGTAATCCCAGCATTTTGGGAGGCTGAGGCAGGCGGATTACGAGGTCAGGAGATTGAGACCATCCTGGCTAACACAGTGAAACCCCATCTCTACTAAAAATACAAAAAAATTAGCCGGATGTGGTGGCAGGCGCCTGTAGTTCCAGTTATTCGGGATGGTGAGGCAGAAGAATCGCTTGAAACCAGGAGGCGGAGGTTGCAGTGAGCCAAGATCGTGCCACTGCACTCCAGCCTAGGCAACAGGCAACAGAGCGAGACTCCATCTCAACAACAAAGCCTAAAGAGGTTTAATAAGTCTCTCAGGGTCACTCTTCAACTAAGGGCAGAGTTGGGATTTAAACGTGGTTCTGACCAGGTGCAGTGGCTCACACCCATAATCCCAACACTCTGGGAGGCTAAAGCAGGCAGATTATCTGAGGTCAGGAGTTTAAGACCAGCCTGGCCAACATGGTGAAACCCCATCTCTACTAAAAATACAAAAATTAGTCAGGCATGGCAGCACGCACCTGGAGTCCCAGCTGAGGGAGGAGAATTGCTGGAACCCAGCAGGAAGAGGTTGCAGTGAGCTGAGATCGCGCCACTGCACTCCAGCCTGGGCAACAGAGCAAGACTCCATCTCAAAAAAATAAAAAAATAAGAAATAGGCCGGGCACGGTGGCTCAAGCCTGTAATCCCAGCACTTTGGGAGGCCGAGACGGGCGGATCACGAGGTCAGGAGATCGAGACCATCCTAGCGAACATGGTGAAACCCCGTCTCTACTAAAAAATACAAAAAAACTAGCCAGGCAAGGTGGCGGGCGCCTGTAGTCCCAGCTACTCGGGAGGCTGAGGCAGGAGAATGGCGTAAACCCGGGAGGCGGAGCTTGCAGTGAGCTGAGATCCGGCCACTGCACTCCAGCCTGGGCGACAGAGCCAGACTCCATCTCAAAAAAAAAAAAAAAAAAAAAGAAAAGAAAAGAAATAAAAACCGGTTCTGTGTGACTCCAGAGGTCCTTCTCTGAGCCTTGCTGCTTGCTACATTATTACACTTTGAATCCATTCCTGTGGCTTATACAAAGGAACCAGGGAGAAGAGAAAAGCATGCTGTCCAAGAAGCACAGATGGGTGTGCATGTGTGTGTATGCACATGTGTATGTATGTGGATAGATCCGTTGCAAGAAGGATACTTCTAATGCACTGTGCTTATGTGAAAGGAAAAAGGAAGTATCCAGTGCTCTGGGTCTGAACTCTTCTCCAGATCTCAACCCGTACACCCAGGGACAGTGACAAAGAATAGGGTCATGACTAACAGCCTGCCACATTATGACTCTGATCCCTGAAACCCCTTCTGTGTTCCTCCCAGTGTCGTTGGCACCCCATTCTATGTGATGGAGTACTGCCCAGGTCTCATCTACAAAGACCCTTCCCTGCCAGGCTTGGAACCCAGCCACAGGCGAGCCATATACACTGCTATGAACACAGTCCTGTGCAAAATTCACAGTGTGGATCCCCAGGCTGTGGGGCTTGAAGACTATGGGAAGCAAGGTGAGCAGGAGGCCACGTCTCCCATGCTGGTTGTTTCATCACTAGTGCTTCTGCTTTTAGGATCTGAATCATTTTGGGTATTAACACACCATGCGTAAGGCACACTTAGCTTCTTCCTTGGAAATCCAGTTTAGTTTTAATGGAGGTGTTGCTGACTTAGGTATTTGGGCCTTCGATAAATCCCTTTATGAACTACACAATCTTTCTTCCCTGCAACTTTTTTTTTTCATTTTTTCTTTTTTTCCCTGAAGTATTCTACTATCCAATTCCCTGCTACTTTTATCTCACTAGACCATTTAAATTTTTTTTCTGATACTGACCAAAGGTATTTAAAATGTGTTTTTCTCTGTTTCTTACCCTTTTCCCTAAATACTCTTCAACAGGAATATATATATTTTTTGAGATGGGGGTCTCACTATGTTGCCCAGGCTGGTCTGGTCTCAAACTTATGGGCTCAAGCCATCCTCCTGTCTCAGCCTCCCAAGTAGTTGGGACTCTGGGCATGTGCCACCGTGTCCAGTTTCAACAGGGATAGTTTTTTTGTTTGTTTTTTGAGACAGGGTCTCTCTCTGTAGCCCACACTGGAGTGTAGTGGCGTGATCTTGGCTCACTGCAGCCTCAACCTTTTGGGCTCAAGCGATCCTCCCACCTCTCCCTCTTGAGTAGCCGGGACTACAGGTATGCACCACCATGCCCAGCTAATTTTTGTATTTTTAGTAGAGACAGGATTTCGCCATGTTGCCCAGGCTCTACCCAAACTCCTGCGCTCAAGTGATTTGGCCTCCCGAAGTGTTGGGATTACAGGCATGAGCCACTGCAGCCAGCCCTCATGTAGTACTTACCACATGCCAAGAACAGTTCTAAGGGCTTTACATATTTTATTCTCCCAACGGCTCTATGAGGACCATCTCAAGATGAGGAAACTAAAGCATAGAGATGCTAAGTAACCTGCCTGAGATCACACTGCTAGAGAACAGCAGAGCTGGGTTTCAAAGCCTGGCAGTCTGACTCCAGGGTTGATTTGCTCAGCTAACCACTGTTGTTTAGCCAAAAAGTGATTTATGAAAGGCTATTAGGAAGCACACAAGATATTTTTTTTGGAGACGGAGTTTTGCTCTTGTTACCCAGGCTGGAGTGCAATGGTGTGATCTCGGCTCACTTCAACCTCCACCACCTGGGTTCAAGCGATTCTCCTGCCTCAACCTCCCAAGTAGCTGGGATCACAGGCACCCACCACCACACCTGGCTAATTTTTGTATTTTTTAGTAGAGACGGGCTTTCGCCATGTTGGACAGGCTGGTCTCGAACTCCTGACCTCATGATCTGCCCACCTTGGCCTCCCAAAGTGCTGGGATTACAGGTGTGAGCCACCATGCCCGGCCATAAGGTCTTTAAGAGGAGCAGAGATCATATTTGGAGACCACACAGCTAGGAACAGCACCCAGACCACACTAATCCAGCCAAACAGCCGATGATTTCCACCTTGGGGCAGCAGGAGCATCATGTGGGAAATTCTCCAGTCTTAGGAACGTGTTCAAAGACACCGCAGCACCCACTGCAGAGCATGACAAAGGGTTTTACTGCACTGGTTTTTTTTCCCGTTACTTTCAGAGGTTGCTGAAATTGCATACCATGTTCTAATCATCTTTCCCACAGGGGCCTATATTCCACGCCAGGTGCGAACCTGGGTTAAGCAGTATCGGGCTTCTGAAACCAGCACCATCCCAGCTATGGAGAGGCTGATCGAGTGGCTCCCCCTCCATCTTCCCCATCAGCAGAGGACCACACTGGTGCACGGGGACTTCAGGTAGATGTGATGGCAGGGAGAGCTGAAAAATGACAGCAAGGACACTCCAAGGGGGAATTGAGCAATTGGTCTTGCTGCAATTTACAGTCGGGAATTATTCCTATTACAAAGCACCTCTCTGTGTGTGGCCTTTTCAGGCAGGGTTTCTCAGCTCTGGCACCGTGACATGTTGAATTGGGTAAGTTTTTGTGGTGGGAGCTACTGTGCATTGTAGGATGTCAGGCATCATCCCTGGCCTCAACCCGATGCCCGTAGCACCCCTCCCCGCAGGGTGTGGCAACCAAAAATCTTTGCAGACCTGGTCCAGTGTTCCCAGGGAGGGCAGCATTCCTCTGTTGAGACCCACTGTTTGAAAGTAAGGCAGAGTCTACGGCCCCTGAAGAGGCCTGATCTCATCTGAAAGTAAGGCAGAGTGAGGGTGCCACTCACCTCCCAAGAGGCCTGGGGATGGACATTCTCACTGGGTGTAGTGAAAGGATTGAAAGAGAGTGACAGAGTCTCTGGGGGTATGTGATGAGTCTGTAGCGCGGCTAAAATGGGAACTTCAGTATGCCTGGCATCCGGCGGCAGAGATGATAGCTTTATCTTATCATCTCTTGCTGTGAAAACTGCCCATTAGATACTTTTATAGGGTAGTGTTTATCGTGTTTTCTGCTTCACAGCACCTGGAGACCTGCTTTTGATGCAATAATGCCTTATTTGGCTTGTCTTTTTGCCCATGTGGGGACCCAGGCCTTTTATTAAACAAGGCTAGACAGTGAAGGTTAATTTTAAATTTTAAAGACCTTTCGGCTTCTTTTTTTTTTTTTTTAAGACAGTTTCACTCCGTCGCCCAGGCTGGAGTGCAGTGGCATGATCTCAGCTCACTGCATACCCCACCTCCCGGGTTCAAGCGATTCTTCCGCCCCAGCCTTCCGAGCAGCTGGGATTACAGGTGTGCACCACCATGTGCGGCTAACTTTTGTATTTTTAGAAATCCAAAAATACAATATATCTTTAGTAATACAAAAATATGAGATGGGGTTTTATCATGTTGATCAGGCTGGTCTCAAACTCCTGCCCTCAAGTGATCTGCCCACCTTGGCCTCCCAAAGTGCTGGGATTACAGGCGTGAGCCACCATGCCCAGCCTTAAAGACACTTCTTTGCCCTCCAGATTTAATTGGCCTGTCTTCATTGGCTTGACCTGTGTCCCTCGCTCCCGGCTTCTTCTGTTATCCAGCCACCTTTGGGAATCCCCCTGGGTCTGAAAGTGGACAGCTGAGCTTTCTTTGTCATGTGGTCATCATGGGAGCTTGAGGAACCTACTCCTGCATCAGAGACTGATGGGGCCAAGTGCTTCCCCTACACTGCCTTGAACTTGGCAAGCAGTTGGGCTGCATTTGACCCCCTCCTCCATCTTTCTCCACTTGGGACTCTAGAGCACTTGCCTGACAACACTTTCCTTGCCAGCTATTGCCATGTATTTTCCTTTGGTGGGGAAGACCTCAGGTGGCCTTTGTGTCACCAGCCCATAACAGCTGCTCCGTGGACCTTGTCTTTGCTTCTCTTGGCACCTCAAAGATCTACGAATGTGATCAAGTATACAGCAGGCAGGAGATGTCCAGTGCAGTCTGAGCACCCCATACCCTAGCTATAGTGAAGTATGATGATCATTTAGGATGCTGCCTCCAGGAAAGGCATCCTCTGATTTTAGAGAGTGTGCTGCTGCTTATTGATCAACATAGTTGAGATAATTCTGATTTTTGATGGATGGAAGAATATTTCTTGCTAATGGAGTGAATCACCGGTGGTGAAAGCATAAACTGCCGCAACTACTTTGAAAAGTAGGCCGGGCGCGGTGGCTCAAGCCTGTAATCCCAGCACTTTGGGAGGCTGAGACGGGCGGATCACGAGATCAGGAGATCGAGACCATCCTGGCTAATACGGTGAAACCCCGTCTCTACTAAAAATACAAAAAAAAACTAGCCGGGCGAGGTGGTGGACGCCTGTAGTCCCAGCTACTCGGGAGGCTGAGGCAGGAGAATGGCGTGAACCCGGGAGGCGGAGCTTGCAGTGAGCTGAGATCCGGCCACTGCACTCCAGCCGGGCAGAGCGAGACTCCGTCTCAAAAAAAAAAAAAAAAGAAAAGAAAAGTAGTAGACGACTCATGCCTGTAATCCCAGCACTTTGGGAGGCCGAAGCGGGCAGATCACTTGAGGTCAGCAGTTCGAGACCAGCCTGGCCAACATGCCAAAATCCCATGTCTACTAAAAATACAAAAAGTACCCGAGTGTGGTTTTACCCGTGTAATCTCAACTACTTGGGAAGGTGAGGCAGGAGAATCACTTGAATCCGGGAGGTAGAGGTTGCAGTGAGCCAAGACCGTGCCACTGCATTCCAGCCTGGGTGACAGAGTGAGACTCCATCTCAAAAAGAAAAGAAAAGAAAAGTAATGGGCAGTAACATGGAAGATGGAAATATGCTGCAACACATCGTTTTTTATAAAGAAGCATCTGCTGCAGCTTTGCACCAAGAGACTCAGGCGAAGATGTTTGTTTTGGTCATGTTGTAATTATAATACATGATAAATAAAATGTAGTTTGGCCATATGTTGGAATTCTATTTAGTGGGTAAAATAAACCAATTTGCTGTACATAAGTCATAAGTCTCAAACAGATAATGCTAAGTAGAAAAAAGTAAGTTTCAAAAGGGTAATAAATCATTTGTGAAAACTTAAAAATAATTGAAAGAACACTATATGTGGTATATAGGTACAGGTATAGATAAGAGAAATATAGAAATGTCTGAGACTGATATATACTAACTTCAGGATAGCAGTAAATCTGTCATTTTTAAAAAAATCTGAAGCAAATATAACAAAAAAGCAGATATAATATCTGCTAAATCTGGAAGATGGACACATGAGTTCTGACATTATATCATTCTCTGTATTTTTCTGCATGCTTGATGTTTACTTTTTCTTTTAAATAAAGCATGCATTACAGACAGCCCTGGCAGGAAACAGAAAGCATGAAAGAGGCTATTTGGGGAGAGTTCAATATAGGGTTGTAGTGTGGTTTAGAGGAAACGCTGAAGAACAGTGTGGAGTCCCGGGGCCAGGAACAGTGAGGAGTCAGTCTGACAGGGCAAGCATGTGCTGTGGTTATTGCTACTCTACAACAAACTTTGTCAGAACTGAGTGGCTATCAACAACGACAGTAGTCATTTTGCTCATGAATCTTTGCAGTCTGGGGACAGGACAGCTTATTTCAAAGTAGGGCGGCTGTTGGAAGGGGGTGAATCTTCTGAAGGCTTGCTAGCATGCCGGCCCTGGGCAGAGAAGATATGAACAGCCAGGCTCCTTGGGCCTCTCTTTCTGTCTCTTTATGGTTCCCACATCGTCTCTCCAGCATGGCAGCTTCTGGGTAACTGGACTTTTTTCTTTGAGACAGGATCTTGCACTGTCACCCAGGCTGGAGTGCAGTAGCTATTCATAGGCTGGAACATAACTGACTGCAGCTGCCAACTCCTGGGCTCAGTGATACTCCCACCTTAGCCTCCTGAGTAGCTGTGACTATAGGCGTGCACTACCATGCTCAGCTAATTTTTAAATTTTTTTTTGTAGAGATAGGGTCTTGCTATGTTGCCCAGGCTGGTCTTGAACTCCTGAGCTTAAGCAGTCCTCCCAACTTGTCCTCCCAAAATGTGGGGATTACAGGCATGAGCCATTGCACTCAACCCTGGACTTCTTACCTGGGGGCTCAGGGCTCCAAAATAGTGTGTTTCAAGGGACAGAGGGCTGGGCAGAAGCTGTATCACGTTTTCTGACCTAGTCTAGTCTCGGGAGTCCCTCAGCATCACTTCCATGTGTCTTGTATCTGTTAGAAGCAAGATGCTTCACTGGGCCAAGCGTAAGACTCTACCTTTTGTGGGAGGAGTGTCAAAGGATTTACAGATCTGTTTTAAAACCATCACAGGGAGGGAGTAATTCCCTGAACCCAGAGAGGCTAGCTCTCTGGGGAGGGCTGCAGAGAAGGAGCTGGGGAAATAAATAACCAGGCCCCTTCCCATCTCCTGCTTTTGATTGGCTGAGTCCAGCTGGAAGCCAGAGGGCAAGGGAGTCCTTGGAGCACACAGCCCAGGGAGCTCAGGCTCCGGGGCACAGAGGGGATGGGAGGGTGGGGAGCCAGTCTGAAAGGCAAACAGACCACGCAGAATCCTCCCTAGCCGGCAGTTTTCTTAGTACTGTCTCTGTTCCTCCTGGGGCTTTTCAGGCTCGACAACCTGGTGTTTCATCCAGAAAAGCCAGAGGTGCTTGCTGTCCTTGACTGGGAACTTTCTACCTTGGGTGACCCCCTCATCGATGTGGCCTACAGCTGCCTGGCTCATTACCTGCCGTCCAGTTTTCCCGTGCTGAGAGGTAGGAACTGCTGCTGGAGGATAGTGGAGGAGCAAGCCAGTTCTCAAAGCACTTGGGAGCAAACTCAGCTGAAGTAGTCCATGATTGGACAGGAAAGTGAAAGTGAGGTCCTGGTGGTTCTGGTGGGAAACATAGCTGGAATGCACTCCTGTCACATTTGCGGGGAAGTAGATATAGAATGTGTGTTAAGTGAAAAGTATGCTTGTATAGGCACCTCTTATGCTTTTACACAGCTAACTTCTATTTAGGGTTTTAAATTAAAAACACATTTATTGTGGCTGGGTGTGGTGGCTCACGCCTGTAATCCCAGCACTTTGGGAGACCAAGGCGGGCGGATCACAAGGTCAGGAGTTCAAGACCAGGCTGGCTAACATGGTGAAACCCCATCTCTACTAAAAATAAAAAATTAGCTGGACATGGTGGCATGCGCCTATAACCCCAGCTACTCGGGAGGCTGAGGCAGGAGAATCGTTTGAACCTGGGAGGCGGAGGTTGCAGTCAGCCGAGATCACACCATTGCACTCCAGCCTGCGCAACAGGGCAAGACTCCATCTCAAAAAAAAACAAAAACAAGCCACATTTATTATAAAAATACTAGAGCCAACAGATAGCAACAACAACGAAATAGTTAAAATCATTAGTAGTCCCAGAGATAACCATTTGCTGACATTTCAGTATCTATCCATGTCATCTTTTCTTGTGTGTATATATATATTTCCTAAAACAAAAATGTAACATGATCGAATGACATGCTTTTTTTCACTTCATTGTATACTGTAGACATGTTTTCATGACATTACATATTCTACAGCATAATTTTTAATGAGAGCATATAATCTTATTGTATAGAATTAAGGGAAGATGGCTGGGTACGGTGGCTCACACCTGTAATCCCAGCACTTTGGACTTTGGGAGGCCGAGACGGGCAGATCATAAGGTCAGGAGATCGAGACCATCCTGGCTAACATGGTGAAACCCCATCTCTACTAAAAATACAAAAAAATTAGCCGGGCGTAGTGGTGGGCGCCTGTAGTCCCAGCTACTCAGGAGCCTGAGGCAAGAGAATGGCACGTGAACCCAGGAGGCAGAGCTTGCAGTGAGCCGAGATGATTGTACCACTGCACTCCAGCCTGGGCGACAGAGCAAGACTCCGTCTCAAAAAAGAAAAAAAAAAAACAAAAGAGAATTAAGGGAAGACTTTTGGGTTAATTCCTATTTAGATATTCAATTTGTTTCCAATTTTTAAATATTACCTCCCCCACCCCTATGAAGAAAGGCAGTGAATATCTTTGTAGTAATATCTTTGCCTATATATAAGGTATACTCCTAAGATTAATTTCTATGAATAGAATATATTACATGCTTCTAAATCATGAAAATGTCACAGATGGAGCAAATAAGTGAATTTTTTTGAGACGGAGTCTAACTCTGTTGCCCAGGCTGGAGGGCAGTGGTGCGATCTTGGCTCACTACAAGCTCTGCCTCCCAGGCTCACACCCTTCTCCTGCCTCAGCTTCCCGAATAGCTGGGACTACAGGCACTTGCCACCACGCCCAGCTAATTTTTTGTTTTTGTAGTAGAGATGGGGTTTCACTGTGTTAGCCAGGATGGTCTCAATCTCCTGACCTCGTGATTTGCCCGCCTTGGCCTCCCAAAGTGCTAGGATTACAGGCATGAGCCACTGTGCCCGGCCTGTGAAATTGTTTTATTTGCTATAATTATCATTTTCATAATTTGGTGAGATCTTTTTGTTTATTTTTATATTTATTTGTTTATTTATTTTTGAGATGGAGTCTCCCTCTGTCACTCGTTTATTTATTTTTGAGATGGAGTCTCACTCTGTCACCCAGGCTGGACCACGGTGGCGTGAACTCGGCTCACTGCAACCTCTATCTCCCAGGTTCAAATGATTCCCTGGCCTCAGCCTCCTGAGTAGCTGGGATTACAGGCGTGTGCCACAACACCTGGCTAATTTTTGTATTTTTAGTAGAGACAGGGTCTTCACCATGTTGGCCAGGCTGGTGTCGACCTCCTGACCTCAAGTGATCTGCCCTCCTCAGCCTCCAAAAGTACTGGTATTAGAGGCATGAGCCACTGCGCCCAGTCAATTTTTTATTTATTTATTTTTTTTGAGATGGAGTCTCGCTCTGTCACCCATGCTGGAGTGCAGTGGCGTGATCTCAGCCCACTGCAACCTCTGCCTCCTGGATTCATGCCATTCTCCCATCTCAGCCTCCCTCCCAGGTAGCTGGGATTACAGGTGCATGCCACCATGCCTGGCTAATTTTTGTATTTTTAGTAGAGACAGGGTTTCACCATATTGGTCAGGCCAGTCTTGAACTCCTGATCTCAGGTGATCCACCTACCTCGGCCTCCCAAAGTGCTGGGGTTACAGGCGTGAGCCACTGCGCTGAGCCTGAGATCGCTCTTTCCACGTCATTTTTGATCAAATGCCTGGTTGAAGATAATATGCATCCACCCTTAACTGTGGCCCAGATGGAGTTGGAAGCTCCCATTCCTTCCTTTACTGCCATTAGAGTCTGAAACCTGTAAGAGCCAATTTGTGAATAATGACTTCATGCCTGGATGCCCAGCCATCTAAGGGAATAAGAGCCAATGCAGGAATAAGCTAACCCCTGGAACTGGTCGTGAAACTAATTTTCAAGGGACATGGCAATTTTCAGAATTTAAATATTTGCCAGCTACAGGGGTATGTCAAGTCAGTGACTACCCATGAATGGCTCTTTCTCCCAGGTTTTAATGACTGTGACTTGACACAGCTGGGAATCCCTGCTGCAGAGGAGTATTTCAGGATGTACTGCCTCCAAGTGGGACTCCCTCCCACTGAGAACTGGAACTTCTATATGGCTTTTTCCTTTTTCCGTTTGGCTGCAATCCTACAGGGAGTCTACAGGCGATCACTCACAGGTAATGGGATGGCTACCCTGAAGAATCGCTTGGGAGTGAGTCACAGTGAGGACCGTGCCTCCACCTGGAAACCCTCTCAGGGCCACAGAGGCTGTGGAGAGACCGGTTTGGCCACGATTCTCTGAGATTCAGTTAATCCAACCATTTGTCACGTAAATATTTTCTTTACAATATTTATTATTTGTTTTTGAGACAGGGTCTTGCTCTGTCACCCTGGGTGGAATGCAGTGGTGCAATCCCGGCTCACTGTAATCTCTACCTCCTGGGTTTAAGTGATTCTCCTGCCTCAGCCTCCCGAGTAGCTGGGACTACAGGCCTATACCACCACACCTCACTAATTTTTTTTTGTATTTTTAGTAGAGATAAAGTTTCACCATGTTGGCCAAGCTGGTCTCGAACTCCAGACCTCAAGTGATCCTAAAGTGCTGGGATTACAGGTGTGAGCCACCATGCCCAGCTTATTTAACAATATTTAAACTTGTTTTTTAATTATTAAAGTAATGCACAAATAAATTTTTCCAGTTAAAGCATTCATGCTCATGATCAAAATTTGGTCATATAGAATTATGTAAAATTGTATTTCACCCTTTTCAACACCATTCCTCAAAGATAAATGTTACCGTTAAGAGTTTCCTGGGCCCTCCAGTTTTTCTGTTTATCTATCTTCTCTCTCTCCTCCTACTTTTGCGCAAACGTGATCATCTTATGTGTATTTTTCAGAACTTTGATTTTAAAATTTTGTATGCTTAAGAATTTCTATGAAATATATGTGTGGCCATTTGCATATTTAACAACTATATTAGGCAAATTTCTTGTTTTGTGGGTTTTTTTGTTTGTTTGCTTCTGTTTTTGTTTTGTTTTTTTTGAGACAGTTTCTCACTCTGTTGCCCAGGCTGGAGCGCAGTGGTGCGATCTTGCCTCACTGCAACCTCCACCTCACCAGCTCAAGCAATTCTCATGCCTCAGCATCCGAAGAAGCTGCGATTATAGGCACAGGCCACCATGCCCGGGTCATTTTTTTCTTTGTTTTTAGTAGAGACAGGGTTTCACCATGTTGGCCAGGCTGGTCTCGAACTCCTGACCTCAGGTGATCCATCCGCCTTAGCCTCCCAAAGTGCTGGGATTACAGGCATGAGCCACCGAGCCTGGCCAGCTCCCAAATCTTTAGGTAAAACCGTTGTGGTCTTTGGCAACTTCCTTGCTTGCTGGTATGACAAAATGTTCCAGGTTCATCTTGGCTCTCCAGCCTATCCAACATGGTGAAACTGTGTCTCTACTAAAAATACAAAAACTAGCCAGGCATGGTGGCGGGTGCCTGTAATCCCAGCTACTTGGGAGACTGAGGCAGGAGATTCACTTGAACCTGGGAGGGAGAGGTTTCAGTGAGCTGAGATCGTACTACTACACTCCAGCCTGGGTGACAAGAATTAGACTCTGTCTCAAAAAAAGAAAAGACTTGGGAGCCAACCTGAACAGGCTCCCACTTGCTAATAATAGGAAACTTTGGGCATCACCAAGGATGATAGCTGAAATGGATAAAACACATCAGGTATGTTTAAATCCAGGAGTAGTAGCCGGGCATGGTGGCTCAGGCCTGTAATCCCAGCACTTTGGGAGGCCAAGGTGAGCAGATCACTTGAGGTCAGGGATTTGAGACCAGCCTGGCCAACATGGTGAAACCCCATCTCTACTAAAAATACAAAAATTAGCCAGGTGTGGTGGTGGGTACCTGAAATTCCAGCTATTCAGGGGGCTGAGGCAGGAGAGAGAATCGCCTGAACCCAGGGGGCAGAGGTTGAAGTGAGCTGAGATCGCGCCAGTGCACTGCAGCCTGGGTGACTGAGGAAGATACTGTCTCCACCGAAAAAATAAAAATTAAATAAATAAATAAGTCCATGAGTAGTGATACAAAAACAGAGACAACAAAGTCTCATTGATGACCTCAGAGGATGCCAGGGAAGCAACTTATTATTCTGAAAATTGGTAAATGGGTTGGGGGGTGGGGAATCAAGCATTTGTCCTGTCTTTCTTAAACAAATCATACCTCAGGCTATCCAAATAATTGATGAGGGAATGTTTCTCTCTAGAGAAGTATCCTGGACAGAATAATATAGAATTTGCATATCACCAATTTGCACCTCCTAATGCATTAATGCATGTGGGCAATAAGCTTCAATGAAAGCCAACACCACTGAGAGAGAGAGACAGCCAGACATTACGTTCCTCCTGATGCTTCCCTCAAAAGTCACACCGACTCTGCCCAGGCCTCCAGTGCTAGCTGCCAACTCATGGAAAACACAGGGTTCAGAGGGACATGTTCAGCAGCACGCTGGGCACAGCCACTCACAAAATCCAGATTCTGGAAAACATCACAGGGCACACAACTCAGTTTCTTCAAACACATACATTTCAAGGGGAGGAAAAGAGTGAAAAAGGAACCTGTAGATTGAGAGAGACTTAAAAGAAACATCAGGCTGGGCATGGTGGCTCACGCCTGTAATCCCAGCACTGTGGGAGACTGAGGTGGGTGGCTCACCTGAGGTCAGGAGTTTGAGACCAGCCTGGCCAACATGGGGAAACCCCGTCTCTACTAAAAAACATAAAAATTAGCAAGGCCTGGTGGTGGGCACCTATAATCCCAGCTACTCAGGAGGCTGAGGTAGGAGAATTGCTTGAACCTGGGAGGCCGAGGTAGTGGCGAGCGGTGATTGCATCACTGCAGTTTAGCCTGGGCAGCAACATGAGACTGTCTCAGAAAAAAAAAAAGGGAGAGAGAGACTTAAAAGATACATTAGCCAGTTACAGTGTTGGGACCTTATTTGGATCCTTTCTTAAACAAATTATTTGGAAAAAATTTTGATGATAGTCAGTGAAACTTGAATTCTGAGTGGATGGTCGATGATATGAAGAAGTTACAGTCAACGATTTTTTAAGGGTGATAATAGTATTGTGGGTTCTTTAAAAAGTACTTGTCTTTGGAGTTTTGAAAGAATCCTAGATGAGATATTTGGGATGCACTCCAAAAAATCCAGGACCGTGGGAGTGGGGATGGCAGGGAATGAAACCAGACTGGGCTGGCGTCAATCATTGCGGAAGGTGAGCAATAGAACCCGCAGGCTCATTATTCTCTCCTTTCTACTCCTGTGTGTCTTTGAAATTTTCCAAAAGGAGGCCAGTCGTGATGGCTTATGCCGGTAATCCCAGCACTTTGGGAGGCCAAGGCAGGTGGATCACCTGAGGTCAGGAGTTTGAGACCAGCTTGGCCAACATGATGAAACCCCATCTCCCCTAAAAATATAAAAAGTACCTGGGTGTGGTGATGCGGCCTATAATCCCAGCTACATGGGAGGCTGAGGCAGGAGAATCACTTGAACCCGGGAGGCGGAAGTTGCAGTGAGCAGAGATCATGCCACTACACTCCAGCCTGGGTGGCAGAGCGAGACTCCATCTCAAAAAAAGAAACAAAAACAAAAGGCCGGGTGCAGTGGCTCACACCTGTAATCCCAGCGCTTTAGGAGGCTGAGGCGGGGCGGGGGATCACAAGGTCAGGAGATCAAGACTATCCTGGCCAACATGGTGAAACCCTGTTTCTATTAAACATACAAAAATTAGCTGGTCTTGGTGGCGCGTGCCCAGCTACTCGGGAGGCTGAGGCAGATGAATAGCTTGAACCAGGGAGTCAGAGGTTGCAGTGAGCCGAGATTGTGCCACTGCTCACTCCAGCCTGGTGACAGAGCGAGACTCCATCTCAAAAAAAAAGAAAAATTTTCCAAAAGTGAAACTTAAAAACAAAAGGCAAAGAGAAAGAAGGAGAGAGGAACTCATCATGGGGTTTGCTGGTGCTGAGGGAGTGTTTAGCTTTGCAGTCAGTGACTCCCCAAGCTTACTGGCAGCCTGTGTTCCCAGCCAGGTTGCCAGAGTCTTCTGAGAGAAGCAGTTGCAGTAGGAGAACTGATCATTCATTCCCAAGTATATGAGCCTCTACTAAAAGCCAGCACTGTGCTAGGTAGTCCTGGAAATACACAGTCGTGGGGAAAACTGTCTGGAGAAAAACCAGTACCCAGAGAATTTCTAGTTTAACTGTACCTGGTCTGATAAGCAGGGGATGCAGGAAGCAGGAATTTCTGGAAACAATATTTTCCCTCTTTTGGGAAAATACAGTATCAGCTGTAAGCCACCATTTCACATTTTTTTAATGGTTTTCCGATAAACACTAACCAGAAATATTTACTTAAACAGAATGGCTGCTAAGTCCTTATGGTGATGAATAGGCCTGGTCGCTTCCGACATTTCCTAGCAGGCTGCCGAGTTTTCTCCCTGCTCTGCTCCAGTGACCTGGGAAGAGCTTAATAGACTTTGCCCATTTTAGAATCTCCACCACTGAGTGTCCTCAGCCTGTCTCTCAGGAAGCCCTTTGACATGTTTCTAAGATCCTGTGAGCCATCGTCGTGGCTTCTGGTTTCTCTCGGCCCAGAGCTAAAACACCCCACCTTTTGCCACCAGACAGAAAAATGTCTGTTTGTTCAAGCCTTTATTCCTCTTATCTTACTGTGCACTCTTTTCCCTCCCCCTGGGAAGCCATCCAGACACACTGAGGAAATGGCTTAGTTTTCTCACATAAAAACAACAAAATCAGGCCGGGCGCGGTGGCTCAAGCCTGTAATCCCAGCTACTTGGGAGACTGAGGCAGGTGGATCACGAGGTCAGGAGATCGAGACCATCCTGGCTAACATGGTGAAACAATATTACTTTTGTACATTTGTCTTCTACAATTAGCTTTAAAATCACTTTTGTTTGAACAGCTGAAATATTTGGTACTACCCAGGGAAAGTGGAGTCACTGTGGACTCTTTTCCCTCCCCCTGGGAAGCCATCCAGACACACTGAGGAAATGGCTTAGTTTTCTCAAAAAAAAAAAACAAAATCCATTTTTTGAAAGAATAACATAAAAATATATGATGAATGGGGAAAAAACCAACTATATGAATATAAATATTACTTTTGTACATTTGTCTTCTACAATTAGCTTTAAAATCACTTTTGTTTGAACAGCTGAAATATTTGGTACTACCCAGGGAAAGTGGAGCTTAGAGAAGGGGTATCTGTTTCCAAGACATTCTCTCTATGGTGTCATTTACAAAAGACCTCAGATCAGCATTAGATTGGGAGGGGGATGAGAGAGACCAGAGCCCACTGAGCAGAAGATTTACAGTATGTACCTGCCCAGCACATGTGTCTTTCTCCTTCCTTAATAAGTGGGTGCAGAAATTAGATTTCTGGCAGATGGCCACTGAAATTCTATAAAGTACTTACGACTGCAACTTAAGTGGACACCAGTGATGTGGTCTCCTGCCAGAACTACATTTGGGAAATATACCAGAAGCAATAGGTGGAAATCAATCCAAGCTTATACAAGTGACTTTTTCAGAGACAAAGTAGCAGTCTCAGAGTGCGAGCCAACTAAATAGAAGAAAATTAAGAATACACCTCTTACTCTGTTAGAAGAAGAAAATCCTTATGAATAATAGGGAACATAAGGGAAGTATCTTTCCCCTTCAATGTGCTGTGTGCAGTCCGAGGAATAAGGGGAAAATGCAGCCCCTTGTACTTCTCAGCCCCCACTGTGTGTCTGCAAGGAAGGGGCTATCTGGTTTCCCACTGACTTCCCTGGGTTAGGTTCATACCGGAAGGTCCTCAGTAGAGACCTAGTGAGGTCCAGTGGGCTAATTCTCGGCAGGATAGCAAAGAATTTGTTCCTAACTCTGTAAGGAATAGTTTAAACTATCTTTAACACCAAAGCTGCATGCAAATGGCTGTCTCAGCTGGGCATGGTGGCTCATGCCTGTAATCCCAGCAGTTTGGTAGACTGAGACAGGAGGATTGTTTGAGGCCAGGAGTTTGAGATCAGTTTGGGCAACATAGTAAGGCCCTATCTCTTATTTAAAAATAAATATTTATTTTTTTGAGACAGAGTTTTGTTCTTGTCACCCAGGCTGGAGTGCAATGGCATGATCTCACCCTACTGCAACCTCCACCTCCTAGGTTCAAGCGATTCTCCTGCCTCAGCCTCCCCAGTAGCTAAGATTACAGGTGTGCATCACCACACGTGGCTAAATTTTGTACTTTTAGTAGAGATAGGGTTTCACCATGTTGCCCAGGCTGGTCTCAAACTCCTGACCTCCGGTGATCTGCCTGCCCTCGGCCTCCAAAGTTCTGAGATTATAGGCATGAGCCATTGCACCTGGCCGAAATATTATGTATCTTGATGGCAATGGTAGTTGCCCAACTATGGGTTTGTTAAGACTTGCAGAGTTCTACATTAAGGAGGTGTGTGTACACCACACCTTAATTTTTTTTTTTTTTTTGAGATGGGAGCCTCACTCTGTCACCCAGGCTGGAGTGCAATGGCACGATCTCGGCTCACTGCAACCTCTGCCTCCCAGGTTCAGGTGATTCTCCTGCCTTAGCCTCCTGAGTAGCTGAGATTACAGGCACGCACCACCATGCCTGGCTAATTTTTGTATTTTTAGTAGAGACAGGGTTTCTCCATGTTGGCCAGGCTGGTCTCAAACTCCTGACCTCAAGTAATCCACCCACCTTGGCCTTCCAAAGTGCTGGGATTACAGGCGTGAGCCACTGCACCTGGCCACCTTAATTTTTTTTAATGGAGAAAAATGTGTTTGTAAAAAAAGTCTTGATGCACATTTTAAAAGAAGAAAGAGACGGTGCGAGAGCCAAATAGTGAGTTGAGTGATGCTGGAGTTGATTCCGTCCAGAGACAGTTGTGTCTAGAAATTGGCTCTTCCTCTAGTCAGTTGTGGCATTGCTGTTATCAATTTTGTAGCAAGGGTGGTCTAGGATGCAGGACTTCTTATAGCCCACTGGCAATGGCAGAGGTGATCTGGGGTGTTACTGATTAAATGTAGTCTTTTAGGAAAGCAGAGATCAAGAGCAGGGAGCAGGAAGTCCTGAGTTGGACTCTGGCCCCCAGCCCCCTAACTTCCAGTTCGTCCAAGTCACCTCCTTCTCTAAGACTCAGTTTTCTTGCCTGCAAAGTGCAGGTGAAAGCAGTTGTATTGCTTTAGTGATTCAGTGAGCTATAGTGGCTCTTAGTGTTCGGTACTTAGCAAGTGCTCAGCAAATAACAATACCTGTTGAAGTGACAATGTCATCACATGTTAACATTCCTGTGATGGGTTGTGTGGGAGTAATCACTGTTTTTCTTTGATTCTGCTTAGGGCAAGCAAGCTCCGCGCATGCGGAACAAACTGGAAAGCTGACCGAATTTGTGTCTAACCTGGCATGGGATTTCGCAGTCAAAGAAGGGTTCCGGGTTTTCAAAGAGATGCCCTTCAAAAATCCGTTAACAAGGTCCTGCCACACGTGGGCTAGGTCCCAGTCCCAGTGGTACCCCATAGGTACCAGGAGTTATAGCTCCGTTCCAGAAGCTTCCCCAGCTCATGCCTCAAGGGGAGGTCTGGTTATCTCTCCAGAGAGCCTCTCTCCACCTGTCAGAGAGCTGTATCACCGGCTGAAGCACTTCATGGAGCAGCACGTGTACCCTGCGGAGCCAGAGCTGCAGAGTCACCAGGCCTCAGCAGCCAGGTGGAGCCCCTCCCCACTGATCGAAGACCTCAAGGTAAAGCAGCCGTGGTGAGGTGGTAAGACCCCAATACCATGGCACACCCTCCCCGACCCCACCGGCCTCACCTGAGCCATCCCAGGCAGTGAAGATACAGGAGGGCCGAGTTGAATGATCTTTGCTTCCATCATCTCAGAAAGAGCCAGCTAGCTCTTCATGACTCAGTGTCCATCTCTTGCTTTTGCTGTGCCTGTGTCACAGGCAGATGGCTCAGGTGTGACTGCACAGCCCAGGCAGCAGAATGCTTGGCCTTAGAAAGCCAGGGCAGGTTGGGCCTATCTCATGCATATTTGAATTACGTAAATTTGAAACAGTGCTGTATCAGCTAATACATCTCTCTCTAGAGAGCCAGTAATGTCACAGCTAGAGGGCCAAATCCACTGTGAGCTGAGTTTCTGTGTTGTCTCCCAGTGCTGTCACTTAAGCTGATAAACAGAAACACCTGCTGTTCCTTATCAGGTGAACCTTGGATTGTGTTAGTTTTGAAATTACTTGAGATCCTCAGGAGCATAATGCAATCATCATCTACTTTTCTTTTCCGCCCCCCCGGGTTCAAGCGATTCTCCTGCCTCAGCCTCCCGAGTAACTGGGATTATAGGCACATGCCACCATGCCCAGCTAATTTTTGTATTTTTAGTAGAGATGGGATTTTACCATGATGGTCATGCTAGTCTCAAACTCCTGACCTCGTAATCTGCCCGCCTCGGCCTCCCAAAGTGCTGGGATTACAGGCATGAGCCACCATCTCTTTTTTCTTTTTTTTTGAGACAGGGTCTTGCTTAGTCACCCAGGGTGGAGCACAGTGGTGTGATCATAGCTCACTGTAGTCTCAAACTCCTGGGCTCATGTGATCCTCTCACCTCAGCCTCCTGTGTAGCTGGGACCACACGTGCAGCCACCACACCCAGCTCCTCATATCATTCATTTTTTTGGGCACACATGCATGTTTGGTTGTCTGCCTTGTTACCTCCAATCCATTTCATTGTTTTCCGTGGTTCAAAATAAAATGAAATCTTCCACTATGGTTTCCTGACTTATTTTCCCCATGATAGGAGAAAGCCAAGGCGGAAGGACTTTGGAACCTTTTTCTACCCTTGGAGGCTGATCCTGAGAAAAAATACGGAGCAGGACTGACCAATGTGGAATATGCACATCTGTGTGAGCTCATGGGCACGTCCCTGTATGCCCCCGAGGTACCTTCTTTAAAGTTTTCCTCAGTGTGTGGGAACATCCTGATCTTCAAAAGAACTCACTCCTAAACAGATAGACCAGATTCAGAAGCACCAGCATGAACTTGAACTTTTTTTTTTTTTGAGATGGAATCTCGCTCTGTCACCCAGGCTGGAGTGCAGTGACGCAGTCTTGGCTCGCTGCAACCCCTGCCTCCCGGGTTCAAGTGATTCTCCTGCCTCAGCATCCCGAGTAGCTGGGATTACAGGCACATGCCACCACACCTGGCTAATTTTTGTATTTTTAGTAGAGACAGGGTTTTACCATGTTGGCCGGGCTGGTCTCGAACTCCTGACCTCAGGTGATCCACCTACCTCGGCCTCCCAAAGTGCTGGGATTACAGGCGTGAGCCACCATGCCCATCCAACTTGAAGCTTGAAATATTGACACGAGAAGGCCAGGCATGGTCGCTCACACCTGTAATCCCAGTACTTTTGGAGACCAAAGTGTGGGGGATCACTTGAGGCCAGGAGTTCGACACCAGCCTGTGCAACATAGTGAGACCCTGTATGTACAAAAAAATAAAAAATTAGTCGGGTGTGATGGTGCACACCTGTAGTCCCAGCTGCTTGGGAAGCTGAGGCGCGGGAGGATGGCTTCAGCTGAGGAAGTCGAGGCTGCAGTGAGCCATGATCGTCCCACAGTACTCCAGCCTGGGTGACAGAGCTTGACCCTATTTTATTTAGAAGAGGCCATGACAGTCGTGGTCATGCTCCTTTTCCTTCTCAGATATGTAACTGCTCTGCGCCTGACACGGGCAACATGGAGCTGCTGGTGAGGTATGGCACCGAAGCGCAGAAGGCTCGCTGGCTGATGCCTCTACTGGAGGGGAAAGCCCGCTCCTGTTTTGCTATGACTGAGCCCCAGGTACCTTGCCTGGGCTGCCACCCACTTGCCTGGCCCTGTTGTTGTCAGGCCCGCAGGAAACACGGGCTATCTACCGGCAGCTCTGACTGGAATGTGCTCCCCACTCAGGTTGCCTCTTCAGATGCCACCAATATTGAGGCTTCCATCAGAGAGGAGGACAGCTTCTATGTCATAAATGGTCACAAATGGTGGATCACAGGTATTTGGCCTTTTCAAATGCACATCAGGGAGTCTGCACTGATAGGCACACCTCTCAATGCCTGGGAGGAGCCTCTGCTTTTTCAAGTTGACAGAAAGGAGATTCTGTCACTTAGCGCCCCCAGCAGAGGCAGCTGGGAGAATAGGAGGGTTACTGCATGGAGCACGCTGTTCTCAGAGGCGGCGCTTTGCAGGGCAGGGACGTCCCCCAGTGCCCACACATGGACGGATGCCTCCCTGCATGTGACCCCAGGAATCTCTCCACTTCCTGCTGTTCATTCTGCCTTGGGCAGCTCCCCTTCCTTGGTGGCTTCCTGGCTCCTTGATCAGATGTGTTACATCCTAAGGGTTAATGACAATCCTGAAGCTTAGGGAGTGTCCAGTGTTACTTCTACAGGGCCCCCACAAGTAGCTATGGAGCTTACCTCCCAGAGCCCATACCTCCCTGGACATTAAGAATGAGCATCCCTATTTTTCAGAGGAGGAAACCACACTCAGACTTAGGTCCCTTGCCTGGGATATGAGCCCCTAGCTGGCACGTAGAGAACCCAGAGTCAAAGGTTCACCTGATTCCAAGGCCCAGGCCCAGAGCCATTATGTGTGCACACCCGTGGGAGCCGAGCCAGCTGGCAGGGATCAAGTAGCAGTTTTCGTCCTCTTGTCTCTAAATTATATTTTCTGCTCTATGTGATGCTTTTAAAAACTTGCTCTTATGATGTTGGATTCATTCCTTACTGAAATAAGAGCACAACCCAATTTGCTCTTATTTCTGGTCATCAGTCTGCAGATGCTCATCTGATTACATGGAGCCTTAAAGATTTGATCTGTCTGCTTCCTTGCTGTGCCTTTCTTGGGCCAGGACCACGTGTGTAGAGATTTGATGGCCCTGGTGTCAGATGATGAGGTCTGTCTCTGTCCTTTCCTGGCAGGCATCCTGGATCCTCGTTGCCAACTCTGTGTGTTTATGGGAAAAACAGACCCACATGCACCAAGACACCGGCAGCAGTCCGTGCTCTTGGTTCCCATGGATACCCCAGGGATAAAAATCATCCGGCCTCTGACAGTGTATGGACTGGAGGATGCACCAGGTGAGACGTCCAGGGGCGGTGTCACCCCTGGGTGTGGGTCTGGTCCCCAGGAAATGCCGTTGGGGAGCCCCTGCTCTTGTTCAGGACTTGCCACATCCCACGTCTGACAGTATGATATTTGGAGAGTCACATGCTCCTACATTTCATTTCCATACATGAATATCAACCATGCAGGCAGATTTCAGACAGGCATTTATGCATTTTTTCCCTCTTCTTTTTTTTTTTTTTTTTTTTGAGACGGAGTCTCGCTCTGTCACGGCCCAGGCTGGAGCGCAGTGGCCGGATCTCAGCTCACTGCAAGCTCCGCCTTCCGGGTTTACGCCATTCTCCTGCCTCAGCCTCCCGAGTAGCTGGGACTACAGGCGCCCGCCACCTCGTTCGGCTAGTTGTTGGTATTTTTTTTTTAGTAGAGACGGGGTTTCACCGTGTTAGCCAGGATGGTCTCGATCTCTTGACCTCGTGATCCGCCCATCTCGGCCTCCCAAAGTGCTGGGATTACAGGCTTAAGCCACCGCGCCCGGCCATTTTTTCCCTCTTCTAAGCTTAGAAGGTAAGCAGGAGTCTGTGACGCAGGAAGCCATACAGGGCAGAGGCAGGAAGTGGACCCCAGACCTACTCTTCCAGGCCCCAGTGTGTACAGCTGACCTCTAGGTCACAGCCCTGGTTTGGTCCGCTCCCAGTTTGGTTTTCTGCTAACAGTGTTCACGTTTTTCCTTTCAGTGTTTTCATAGGATCACTACATTATCACAAACCACTAGGGGCTTCAGCTTAAGGTGGCATTATGTTTTTATAAAAGGAATCACAGAATATTCATTTGCCATTATAAATCAGTGATTCATTTTCTGTGTTTAACAGGCTCCTTCCTGCCATCCTTTTCCCTTTAACCATGTCCTAGTAAGAAAGCTAAATAAAGGGCAGGGACATTGCCAGCAGATAACCCAGACTAAGGTGAGGAAGAAACACATCCAAGGGAAATGACTATGGCAACTGCTCACAGTGATCATTTGGGTCTTTCAGGTGGCCATGGTGAAGTCCGATTTGAGCACGTGCATGTGCCCAAAGAGAACATGGTCCTGGGCCCTGGCCGAGGCTTTGAGATTGCCCAAGGCAGACTGGGCCCCGGCAGGATCCATCACTGCATGAGGCTGATCGGGTTCTCAGAGAGGGCCCTGGCGCTCATGAAGGCCCGCGTGAGTGCTTCCTCCTGCGCCTAGCACTGACTCAGAACCACCACCTTCTGCTTTGCTGTCGGGCTTCAATTCCTACCTGTTTTCTGAGTACAGTCCCAGCAGGTGAAGCAAGGTGATGTCCTTGCCAAGAAGTTGCATTCCTGTCTTTGCTTTGCATCTGCTACTTTGCTGCAGTTTGGATTCAGAGCAGGATAGAACCCACTCTGTCAAGGTGACCGGAAAGGCCAGGCTCTATAGCAGCAGAGGGCAAGGTTCCAAGGTGTAAAGGTCATGCTGCTAGCACATTATTAAAAATCAGTCTGGGTGCAGTGGCTCATGGCTATAATCCCAGTACTTTGGGAGGTCTAGGTAGGAGGGTTGCTTGAAGCCAAGCATTTGAGACCAGCCTAAGCAAAAAAGAAAGACTTAGTCTCTACAAAAAAAAAAAATATATTTTTTTTTTCTTTGAGATGAAGTCTTGCTCACCAGACTGGAGTGCAGTGGGGTGATCTTGGCTCATTGCAACCTCCACCTCCCAGGTTGAAGCAATTCTGCCTCAGCCTTCCAAGTAGCTGGGACTACAGGCGTGCACCACCACGCCCAGCTAACTTTTGTATTTTTAGTAGAGATGGGATTTCACTATGTTGGCCAGTATGGTCTCGATCTTTTGACCTCATGATCTGCCTGCCTTGGCCTCCCAAAGTGCTGGGATTACAGGCATGAGCCACCGTGCCACCCGGCAAAAAAAAGTTTTTTTTTTTTTTTTGGAGATGCAGTCTCGCTCTGTCACCCAGGCTGGAGTGCAGTGGCGCAATCTTGGCTCACTGCAACCTCTGCCTCCTGGGTTCACACCATTCTCCTGCCTCAGTCTCCTGAGTAGCTGGGACTACAGGCATCTGCCACCACACCCGGCTAATTTTTTGTATTTTTAGTAGAGACAGGGTTTCACCGTGTTAGTCAGGATGGTCTCGATCTCCTGACCTTGTGATCTGCCCACCTCGGCCCCCCAAAGTGCTGGGATTACAGGCATGAGCCACCGTGCCTGGCCAAAAAGAAAGAGTTTAAGTGCCAGGCATGATGGCATGTGTCAGCTGGCATGTGTCAGACTACAGGTCCCAGCTACTCGGGAGGCTGAGGCAGAAGGATCGCTTGAACCTAGGAGTTTAGGGCTGCAGTGAGCAGTGATCACACCACTGCACTCCAGCCTGGGTGACAGAGTGAGACCCTGTCTCTTTAAAAATAAATAAACAAACAAATAAATAAATCAGACACCAGGGAGACCCCATGTGGCTTGTTTTTGTCCTTAGGGTTCCATCATCTGGCCTGTACCACCCTCCTCCACAGCACATCCAGAAAACTATTCTGCCATGACCCCACCGCCCCCAAAGTTTGGAAACCTAGGTTAAAAGACAGCTGCTGCCAGGACAAGAATTCAAATTGGTGATTATCAATTTCAGAAAGGTGACGCATACCATGGGACTAAAACCAGTGTCTCACAAGAACTGCTATTGAAAGAACAGAGGCAGTCTGCATTTTTGATTACTGAGCAAACCTGTGATTTACACCCTTTTTAGTTAAGACTGACCAGTTATTTTTTCTTTCTAAGTAAAACGCTCCTGTCTGTGGACTCAGGTATGGTGCTTCAGCCCCATGTGGCATTAAATTCAACCTGGCAGAACAATTGGACTGAATGAATCAGACAGAAGTCTCCAGAAAGTACATAGCATGAACATGGCACCTCCACTGAGGACTTGGTTGGAGTAATTAGGAATCTACAAAAGATTTGCTACTAGGAGGTTCACCACAGTGCTCATTCAGATAGCAAAATTCTGAACAACTTATAAGGATAACAATGACTGTTGGACAAATGAACCACGAGATGACATACAGTGAGACTTTAAATGATGCTGTGGAAATCTATTCCTTAACATGGAGAAACTGTTCACTATATACATTTAAATTTTTTAAAAAAAGACTGTGACCAGGTGTGGTGACTCACTCCCAAGTACTCTGAGAGGCCGAGGCAGGCAGACTGCTTGAGCCCAGGAATTTGAGAGTAGGTTGGGCAATATGGCAAAACCTCATCTCTATGAAAAATAAAAAATAAGGCCGGGCGTAGTGGCTAATGCCTGTAATCTCAGCACTTTGGGAGGCTGAGGCGGGCAGATCACTTGAGGCTAGGAGTCTGAGGCTAGGTTGGGCAATATGGCAAAACCTCATCTCTATGAAAAATAAAAAATAAGGCCGGGCGTAGTGGCTAATGCCTGTAATCTCAGCACTTTGGGAGGCTGAGGCGGGCAGATCACTTCAGATTAGGAGTTCAAGACCAGCCTCACCAACATGGTGATACTGCGTCTCTACTGAAAATAAAAAAAAAGCTGGGCCTGGTGGCACATGCCTGTAATCCCAGCTACTTGGGAGGCTGAGGCAGGAGGATCACTTGAATCCAGCAGGTGGAGGTTGCAGTGAGCTGAGAACGCACCACTGCACTCCAGCTGGGGTGACAAAGCAAGACTCTGTCTAAAAAAAAAAAAATTAAAATTAAAAAATTAAAAATATTAGCCAGGTGGGGCTGGGCGTGGTGGCTCACACCTGTAATTCCAGCACTTTGGGAGGCTGAGGTGGGCAGATCACCTGAGGTCAGGAGGTTGAGTCCAGCCTGACCAACATGGAGAAACTCTGTCTCTACTAAAAATATATAATTAATTGGGCGTGGTGGCACATGCCTGTAATCCCAGCTACTCGGGAGGCCGAGGCAGGAGAATTGCCTGAATCTGGGAGGCGGAGGTTGCGGTGAGCCAAGATCACACCATTGCACTCCAGCCTGGGCAACAAGAGCAATATCTGTCTCAAAAATAAATAAATAAATGAATAAATTAGCCAGGTGTGATGGCACGCATTTATAGTCCTAGCTACTCAGGAGGCTGAGGTGGGAGGATCTCCTGAGCCTCGGAGGTCGAGGCTGCAGCGACCTGTGACTCTGCCACTGCACTGCAGCCTGGGCAACAGAGCAACACCCTGTCTGGGGGAAAAAAAAAAAAAAGAAACAAGCTGTTAGCTTTGATGCAAAATAATGTTTTTGTTTTTTGTTGTTTTTGTTTTTATTGTTTTAAGCAGGCTGGCCGGGTGCAGTGGCTCACACCTGTGATCCCAACACTTTGAGAGGCCGAGGCAGGCAGATCACCTGAGGTCAGGAGTTAGAGACCAGCCAGGCCAAAATGGTGAAACACCCCGTCTCTATTTTAAAAATACAAAGATTAGCCGGGTGTAGTGGCAGGCACCTGTAATCCAAGGTACTTGGGAGGCTGAGGCAGGAGAATCACTTGAACCTGGGAGGCGGAGGTTGCAGTGAGCTGAGATTGCACCACTGCACTCCAGCCCGGGCGACAGAGCAAGACTCCGTCTCAAAAAAAAAACAAAAAAACAAAAAAACAAAAAGGCTACAAAACAATATGTAGAGTATGGCTCCTGTTTTTGGAAAAAATAAGTATATATACAAAAAGTCTAGAAGGATAGAGGAGAATATCCACCAAATATTAACTAGAGGTGACTAGATGGTGGGATTCTAAGTGTTCGTAATTACTGTCCTCTCTTTTTTTGTTCTGAAAACGGGTAGTTTTTCTGCCATGAGATAAATTATTTGTGTAGATTCTTTTAGTAAAAAAATAAAAAAAACAAAAAAACTAGGCTGGGTGTGGTGGTTCATGCCTATAATCCCATGCCAGCCCTCTTAGCATATCTATGCACGCCAGTGTCAAAGAACCAGGAACTGTGAACCTGGGTTGGTCCCTACGCTGAGGATCCTTGGTGTGGGGTGGAGCTGCCCCCAGAAGGCTGGCAAAGCCACGTCAACATGGCATTGTACCTTGGTACATGCACAGGCACTTAGAAACGACCTTAAGTTAGCCCTGAGGTAACATGGTGAGACCTCGTTCTCTACAAAAAATAAAGAGGCCGGGCGGCGGGTGGCCAAAGCCATGTAATCCCAGCACTTTGGAGGCCGAGAGCGGGTGGATCACGAGGTCAGGAGATCGAGACCCATCCTGCAACACTGGTGAAACG